TTTTTTGTGACTTTATGCAACAAGTCGTTAGAATTGGTAGTTTTTTTCCAATGTGGTTGCATTTCAATAGGACCATGATCAACTCACAAATATAATACAGAAATACATAATAAGAATCTTATAGAAAGAGATAGTAAAATTGATCTAACCAGAGGCTCAGGGAAGGGTAAGCATAAAGATATTGGCACATCGTGGTCCTTTTCACCATTCGAAGAGCATGTTGAACACAAAAACAAATAAACTTACTGAAAACTTCAAGGAAAATTTTTTCGTTGGGGAAATATGTCGAACAGTTGCAGTGGCAACTGAGAGCACGAGCAATTACATTTGACCACTCTCACGTGGAGTGTCAAGTTTGTAGACCAATGTACTGCATCCCTGGGAAAAATGAAAGTTGCAACTTAGTGCCCCATAAGCTTTTTTCTATTTTTTCCTTCTTTTTTTATAGGGCTCGGGTGTTATTCGGTTTGAAAATGAAATAACCAAATTGAAAATTTTTGATTCAATTAAATGGTTAAACGATTAATTTAGTTTTTAATTGGATTTAATCAAACTAAAATTTAAATTCATTATGGTTTTGATTCTAAAATTGCAAAAACTAAAACCAATTGAATTTATTAATAAAAAATATTGGTTTAATTGAAAAAACTAAACCAAACTAAATTTTTTAAATACAAAATAAAAATTTTAATTTGTAACTTTTATAAAGGTTTGGGCATTATGGTTATACCCAAATTGAACCAAATTATAAATTTGATTAACCAAATCAAATTTCTAAATTTATAATTTGGTTTAGGTTGGTTTACTAGATTCTAACTAAAAAAAATTTAATTACCAAAAAAATTTAATGTCGGACCCACATGCCACATGAGCATTATAAGCATATGTGACACTTATAAGACATGGGGTGATGGAAGATAGGTAAAGATACGTGGACAATCTTGTTATATAACTCTTTTATATAATTTTCATGTGTTATTAATTAAACATACATATAATATCATAAACTTAAATAAAATAAAATAAATAAATTACTAAACAACAAATAAAATTATATGAAAAAGTTGTATAAAATATTTGTTTTTCAATCATTTTCTACGGAAGATAGATGGGCACATGTTGACGTGACTGACTTCCATCATTTTTTAACCAATCCATTATGTGATGTGTAATTTAGGGGCTAAATACAGATATTAAATTTGAAGGGTAAAACCCTCCATTGCAAGAAGTTGGGGAAGAGGGAGGGGGCATATGGGGGAAGAGCATTCTTGAACATTAAGTGTAAACTAAAATTGCTTTAAGGGAGCTAACAATTTAAATAGTTTAATAATGATATTTTTTTAATAAAAATAAAAAATTTTAAATTTAAATTACATGATATGTGAATAAATAAAAAAAAGATAAAAAATTATCTCTTATTTTATTATTAAAATAAAAAGGAAATTACTTATCTAATGCTGTAATATTTTAAAGTAACATGGTTCACACGTTGGTACCAAAAAAAAAAAAAAAAGGTTCACACGTAATTTTATTAAGTGTCACAATCTTAGACTATAATAGTAATAGACGTAATTGATTCATTTTACTTGACTGTGCAGCTAGGTTATTCGAATACAGCTAGATTACTACACATTATTTATTTAACAGAAAATGATTTTCTTTTAGCATTTATTAATAACAAAATATTATCATAACATGCTACGGTACAACTTTTATTGATTTTTTTTTTTTTTAAATTTGAAGTGGAAGGAGTAATTTAGTATGTATATATTTGTTTGGATGTCACGTAAAAATTATATTACAATAAATAAAATTACGATCCTTATTTAACATGCAATGTATAATTATAAAATCTCATA